GTGGGGCTCGGTTCCCAGAAATAAAAACGTGCCCTTCCCCTGAGCACAGAGACACAATCCTGCGGGGCTGGGCGGGTGGGAAAACTAGGGCTGGACCACAGCCAAGTTTTCTCTGAAGTTCTCTCCAAGTTAAAAACAGAACGAGCCCAGGCATTTAAAGGTAATTAGTTTAGCTCCAAGTGGATCTGGGGATAATCTCAAACTTCAAAGCTCCTCTGTGTGTCATGACCTGGGGAGTGGAGGGAGGGCAGGGATCAGGGGCTAAGGATGCACTCGGAGGCCAGAGGCACCATCCTTCACCCCCTCCTCTCATTTGCTCCCCGAATCATTGGACTTTTCCCCTCCATCCCCTAGGGCAGTGGTTCTCAACCTTTTTAATACTGCAACCCTTTAATACAGCTCCTCATGTGGTGGTGACCCCAACCATAAAATTATTTTTGTTGCTACTTCCTAACTGTAATTTTGCTACTGTTATGAATGGTAATGTAAATATCTGTGTTTTCCTATGGTCTTCGACGACCCTGCTAGCGGTTCTCAACCTGCCTCAAAGGACCTGAAAGTCTCAGCTAAGACCATCGGCAAACACAGATATGTACGTTACGATTCATTAACAGTAGCAAAATTACAGTTATGAAGTAACAACGAAAATAATGTTATGGTTGGGGGTCACCACAACATGAGGAGCTGTATTGAAGGGTTGCGGTATTCAAAAGGTTGAGAACCACTGCCCTTGAGCCAAGGGCAGTGCTTGTGCTTCACAAGACCTCCAGGCTGCTGCTCAGGGAGCAAAGGGGCTCCCCTGTACTCAGAACCTTGTTGTCATCCACCCAAAAGGGAATGAAGCCATGACTAGAAGTGACGATCTTGAGTTGAACTCTAGGCTTTCTCTTCCCTACCTGGAAACTCACTTTACTATCCAGGACCAACCTTAACATCCTGAGCCTCACTTAAAATCCTCAGCAGTGTCTGTAGCGTGGATTCATGAACTTGGGTCGAAGTTCCCCCAGGGTCACTGGTCACCAAATAACAAGGGCCATGCCGACCTCTCTGAGTCTGTGCGTCATATTCCTCATTTTTGTACCAGGAGCTATAGATGCAAAGTCTTGGCTCTCATGGAGCTTATATCCTGTTGGACACATCACAACACACACATTTAAAAAGATTATTATTCCAGGTTAAAGCAAATGTTACAAACGAGTAAATAGATTGGAGTAATAAGGAGTAATGGGGGAGATGGATTTTTCCAGGGCAACCAGAGAAAACTACTTTTCGGAGGTGATATTTGGGTTGAGAACTAATGGATGAGAGGATGTTCTGTGTAAAGAGCTAAGGGGACAGACTTGTCTGCAAAGGCAACAGCAGGGGCAAAAGGCCATTGGTGGGGAAAGGCTTGCTATGTTCAACCAATAGAAAAAGTCGAGGGCTGTAACTGTAGTTATGAGCAGGGGAAGAATGGGGTGAGATGTGATTGGAGCAAAACCAAGGCCTGCCAGAGGCCTGCGGGGTTTGGTGAGGAGTCTGCTTTACTCCAAGGGCAGTGGGAAGCCTTGAAGGGTTTCACAGAGTGTGTGACGGTTGTGCCCTTTCTGATGCCTAAGTGAACAGACTGGGGAAAGACAAGTTTGGAGTCTGTCTGAAGGTGCAAGTGAGAGGAGCTGGCAGTGAAGCAGAATGCAAACAGGTCCATGGAGCCTGACACTAGTTGTAATCTAACTCATCTACGCTTCTCAAGGGCAACACTCCGTTCTCATCCTTGCATTGATTGCACATCTGCAGCGCGCCTACCATGTGCGAGCGTTACCCTTGACTGCTGTTGGTTTGCTTCATCCACATGCTGGTCCTCGGGAAGGAATGATTATTTTTATTTTCTAAGCAAAGAAACCACAGAGGAGTTGATTTTCAAATCCAGATCTGCCGTATCTCCACAACACTGCCCCTACAGATGCTCAAAAATATGCAACTGGATGGGCAAAAGTAAGTCACCAGTTGCCCAAGGGGTATACTATACAGAGTGCAGGGGAGTCTTTTGGCCAACACTAGCTTTTCTACATATGGAAAACGGAAGAATCTTTGCCTCAAAGGACCTGAAGCAAGAGATGGGTGACCTGGGGGATGAGAAATCTATTTAGTCATTGTCACCTGTTAAGCGAACAGAGGAACTCTATACTCATAGGTAGCATTGTCAGGGAATAGGATGAAAGAAAGTCGCATGTAGAAAAGCAATAACTTGTTCTGGAAATGGGGGGCATTGAAGATAACAAGGTTGATGAATTCTGGAGGGAACCATGGTAATAACATAATAATAGATACCAATGAAAATGCCACCATTTATTGAATGCCTATACATACCCTTTAGCTTACAGTGGTATCTCACACACGCCTCATGACGAACCTCTGGAGTAGGTATGGCTATCGTTCCGAGATTCTAAGAGACCATTAATTTGTTTTGCTGTGTTGTTTTTACTAATGGAACATAGAACACATTTAGTCATGCATAACCTCTTGATTCTTCAGGATAGCAATGCTCAGTTGAATCCAAGCCTTCACATGCAGAGTTGAGGAGTCTTCTGGCTCCTCCCGCTGTGCACACACACCTCTCCATGACCTGCCTGGGCATCTTTTGCCCCTTCCGGGTTAACAGTATCCTTTAGAGCAGGATAAAGAGCACAGGGTGCATCTGACTTCCCATTTTATTAAGCGTGTAGCTCTGTCTTTTTTAATTGGATCAGCGTGTGTTGGCATTGACATCCCAATGTATTCATTCCTCTGTCCAGTGAGGGGCAAGGTCGTTATTATTGTTTTCAGCATTTATTATAAGATGCCTTCCTCTTAATTAAAAAAAAATTGTGTGTCTTAGCATTAGTATATGAGACTGAAGGTTGAAGATGTTAGAGAGTTTGCCTCACATGTCGTAGCAGGCAGGGCTCATAACTGGGAATCCAAACCTTCCATCACTGCTGCTCAACATTCAAGGGTGTAATTATTCCCCGCCTCGTTCTCTCTGGAACCCTCTCCAATGAGGCCTTTCCTTCCGCCGCTCCACCAAAGCCGCTCTTGCTGAGGCTACCAGTGACCCCATGGCCAAATCCGCCCGCCAGTCCTCAGCCATCATGGCTCCATCCTCTTCCCCAGAAGACTTCTTTCCGTGGCTGCCTTCTCAGCTTCTCTTCCTCAGACTCCTCACCTCCTACCACCCCGAGTGGATCCTCAGACTTCTCTCTCTTCCTGCCTCCGCTTCCTCCGCGGCCTCCTCTGTTCTCAGAGCTGGCTTCTCTCCGACCACGGTGCTAGGCAAGCGATACCATGTCTGGGACAGGAGGTAGCTTTGGATTACACTTTAGATATAAGTTTCAGCTGCTAGAATTTGCTACAGGAGCAATGCAGGGAGCAAGAGAAAGAGAGGAAAGAGAGAAGTCTGAGGATCTGTTCAGGGTGGTAGGAGGTGAGGAGTCTGAGGAAGAGAGGCTGAGAAGATCCAGCTGATGCGGGAGGCCTAAGGCAGCCACAGAAAGAAGTCGTCTGGGGAAGAGGATGGAGCCAGGACTGCTCAAGTGAGATGATGGCTGAGGACTGGCGGGCAGATTTGGCCATGGGGTCACTGGTGGCCTCAGCAAGAGCGGTTTGGTGGAGTGATGGGAGGAAAGGCCTCATTGGAGAGGGTTCCAGTTCACACAGAAATCTGCAGCTCCCGCCCGCCCTGCTGCCCACTCTCCAGCAGGCCTTACCATCTTCCCGACCTTTCCACCCCCGCTTCATCCTAAACTGGCTCCTTTGTGGTCTTTACATCTCAATAAATGGCAACATACTTATTCTAGTTACTGGACTAGACCCCTTCCTCTCTTTCTCTTCTCCCTGCATTGATCTGGTAGCAAATCCTAGCAGCTGAAACTTAAATCTAACGTGTAATCCAAAGCTACCCCCATCCCAGCCATGGTATCTCTTGCCTAGCCCAGTGGTCGGCAAACTCATTAGTCAACAGAGCCAAATATCAACAGTGCAACGATTAAAATTTCTTTTGAGAGCCAAATTTTTTAAATTTAAACTATTTAGGTAGGACATTGTTTTTAACTTGATTAGGGTCCTCCTAAGCTGGCCTTTGCTAAAAACTCAAGGGGCCAAAGAGCCGCATGTGGCTCGCGAGCCGCAGTTTGCCGACCACTGGCCTAGCATAATCAGCCCACCATGTCCACCCAGGCCCATCCATTGCCTCAGGCAGATCATGGTGTTGCTGCTGACAGCCACAGAGTAACAGCCGAAGCCCTGGGGCCCCAGATTCTGTGCAGCCCGGGCCTGCTAGCCTCTTGCTTCCCCTCCCCTCCCTGCTGCTGACCAGCTTCCAGCTGACTGGTTCCCTCGCTGGTCACATCGCCTAGCATGCTGCACCGCGGGGACTTGGGACTGCATATGGGCTGCTTCTGAGCTGCTTCTCTCCCCACCACATTCTCATGCAGCTCGCTCCCCCATTTTGGGGGGTCTTTTTAAATGGTACCCCCAGCAGAGAGGCCATTGTCACCTGGTGCTCCCTGTATAAATAGCCCCCCCGAATTCCGCCCCAGGTGCTCTGGTTTATCCCCTAGCACCTCTGTCACTGGAGATGGTACACCCTGTCCATGGCCCATCCATACTACCCTGAACACATGCCCCTGGGCACAGGGGCAGTAAGTGTCTTCGTCTCTACCTTGTCTCCCCACTCCAGAAGCAGGGCCCTCAGGGAACGTTGATGAATCTGGAGACAAAGACGAAAGGAGAGCCTAGGGACAGGACTGCACGCGTGTCTCCACCGCCAGAGCCAGCGGCGAGGACTCCTCTTCCCGTCCCACCAGGACTGCCCGGCCAGCCCTGCTGACTGCTGCCCTGTGTCTCTTCCAGATCCGCGCTCTCCCAGGCCCTGGAGGCCTTTGCTATGACCGCAGCCCCCTCCCGGAGCCAGGACTGCCCCTCACTGCCGCAGCCCCTCCAGGTGCCCGCGCTGCCCCGCCCGTCCCCCGCCCCGCGTCGCCATGGGCAGCGTCAGCAGCCTCATCTCCGGCCACGGCTTCCACAGCAAGCACTGCCGCGCCTCGCAGTACAAGCTGCGCAAGTCCTCGCACCTCAAGAAGCTCAACCGCTACTCGGACGGGCTGCTCCGGTTCGGCTTCTCCCAGGACTCGGGGCACGGCAAGTCCAGCTCCAAAATGGGCAAGAGCGAAGACTTCTTCTACATTAAGGTCAGCCAGAAGGCCCGGGGCGCCCACCACCCCGACTACACTGCTCTGTCCAGCGGGGACCTGGGGGGCCAGGCTGGGGTGGACTTCGGCCCGTCTACCCCACCCAAGCTCATGCCCTTCTCCAATCAGCTAGAAATGGTAAGTTGGGGGGTCTCTCTGGTAAAGGCGGGTGGGTTAGAATGGCAGGTGAGAGCAACATGGTAGGATGGAGAGCACAGTGGCGGTGACCTAAACATTCAGATTTCCGAAATGCACACAGAGACCAAAGGTTGGTCAATCTTAGGTGAGCCGTTCAGCCAAGAGCAGGGGAAGTGAAGGGCTTGCTGAGCTCCCGGGTGTAACTGGTGGTCAACATAAGACCGCCAGCTGCATTTTCAAGCACATGGGAAGGAGAGGGAGCCCTGGTCTCGCCCGGAGGAGCAGATGGAGAGTCGGCCCGGAGAGCTGGCAGCTTCTCTTGTGCGAGCAGATCCTCATGTGCGGCTGGGTGGTGTGGCAGCTCGTCTCGAGCCGGGCCAGGAGCTGGCTGTGAGTTCCTTGCCATCATCTTTAGCAGAAACGAGGGCAGAAGAGTCCTACAGACTCCAGAAAGCGGGTCCTCATTCCAGATTAAGCTCTCATGGGGCCCACGGGTGGTGCCAGAAACCACGTTCCTACTTCAGCCCCGGTGTTACATGGGCTTAGATCCACTAGGACGTGGCCCCCGTGTGTCTGCATGGAACCCTTTTCATGAAAATGATGATTGTAAGAAAAGGGTTTATGTCAAGTTCTCCTCTCAAACTCTTTGAGGAGGCCAAGGTGGTGTCTGCTGGAAGGGCGGTAAGGTGAGCAGGGACTTCTGCAGGGAGACCATGCCCACCCAGCCCCGGGCCCCTGCCGGCATCACACAGGGCAGCCGGAGCCATTTCTCTCGGGAAGCTGGGAGGAGCGGGTGGCAGGTGGCAGCTCATGGCACAGAGTGGCTTCTCCTTGAGAGATTCAGCACATTCGGCAGCCTCAGAGCCCCAGGCGAGGTCGCCTAGGGCTGTGACTAAGAAAGGTGCCACATGACTGGGGGGGATAGGGAGACCCAAGGTCACGTGGTTCTTTTTCTCCCCAGGCCTCAGAGAAGGGTGCGGTGCGGCCCACAGCCTTCAAGCCGGTGCTGCCACGATCAGGAGCCGTCCTGCACGCCTCCCCCGAGGGCACCGGCCACCAGCTGCACCCCGCCCCCCCGGACAAGCCCAAGGAGCAAGAGCTGAGGCCCGGCCAGTGCTCGGGGGCTCTGTCCGACTCCGGCCGCAACTCCATGTCCAGCCTGCCCACGCACAGCACCAGCAGCAGCTACCAGCTGGACCCGCTGGTCCCGGCCGTGGGGCCCGCCAGCCGTTTCGGGGGCTCGGCCCACAACATCACGCAGGGCATCCTCCTCCAGGACAGCAACATGATGAGCCTGAAGGCGCTGTCCTTCTCCGACGGCGGCAGCAAGCTGGCCCACCCGGGCAAGGCGGACAGGGGCCCCTCGTGCGTGCGCTCGCCCATCTCCACGGACGAGTGCGCCATCCAGGAGCTGGAGCAGAAGCTGCTGGAGCGGGAGGGCGAGCTGCAGAAGCTGCGGCGCAGCTTCGAGGAGAAGGAGCTGGCCTCCGGCCCGGCCTACGAGGAGCGGCCGTGGCGCTACCCCGAGGAGCCCGAGGGCCCCGAGCCCAGGAGCGGCGGGCGGCTGAAGGCCTCGCAGAAGGGCCCGCGCGCCCAGCAGGTGCTGCACCTGCAGGTGCTCCAGCTCCAGCAGGAGAAGCGGCAGCTCCGCCAGGAGCTCGAGAGCCTCATGAAGGAGCAGGACCTGCTGGAGAGCAAGCTGCGCACCTACGAGAAGGAGAAGACCAGCTTCGGCCCGGCGCTGGAGGAGACGCAGTGGGAGGTAAGGCAGGGGAGGGCTCGCCCTGCCTGGTGCCCAGCCCCTCCCGTCCCCTCCTCCAGGTCCTACCGGCCAGCGGTGTGTGGACACAAACTGCCCAGCACGCTGCACTCAAGGGCCAGCTTCCTGACCCCGGCGAGGGACTCCCATATGAGGGATACAGGTGGTCTGCGCTTCCCACTCCGTTCCCTTCTCAGGGCCTCCTGGCCCCTAGAATTGAATTTATTGACCAAGTCACTGACCAAGACGCTGGAACCATAGGAAGCAAGGCCCAGCGGGTATCTGCAGGCTTCCTCTGCTCACAGGAGGCTCAGTGGAAGCACGACCATACCTGAGTTCATGCCGGTACGAGAGCAGAGGATGTGTTGCTTTTGAGGAGAGGGTCCCCACCCACTGGTGAGAGTGCCGCCGTGTGTGGCAGGTCTCAGTGACAGAACGGATCGCCCCCCCCTCCCCCCAGAAGTGTCAGTGGGGGTTCTGTCACGTGTCTGAGATGGAAAGAGGACAGGAAGACAAGGGCTGTCGCACGCACATGCACGTGCTCAGGCACCCTGGCGGTGAGGCCTCTGCATCTGGCCGCTGGAGAACCAGCTCAGACCCCATCCTGCTGCCTGCGGGCAGCCTTTCTCCCCGGGTGGCCCCGGGAGGTGTGCTGGGACAGGCGGGAGTGTGTGCATAGCAGCTCTGTGACACCCCTCCCCCCCACCTCCCCGCCCTGCAAACTGTGTGGAAAGGGACCGAAGGGCCACTGGGTCTCGTTGGACTGGCACCTCTACCCTAGCAGCACAAACTGTTTGCACTAGAGCTGTGTGTGCTGATCCCGGCAGTCAGAATGAAGTGTTGCCCGTAGTCGTAGAGGGAAAGATCCCTTCTGTGGAAGAGATGGATGGGGACTGGGCAGGGGAGGAGGGCGTCACTTCCTGTTTGCAGGTTTTCTGGGGCGGAAGGAATGGGAGCCGTGAGAGCAGTGCCTTCCTCCATGTCCACGTGGGCACAGCACACCCTCCCGCAGCTACCGTTTCTCAGCCAGCCCTGGGGACCCCTGGGGGCGTCTCCGAGATGTAAGCTAGTGCTGGCATTGGGCATCCCTCCTTGTCCATGGACATGGCTGCAAACCTTGCTCCCAGGTTGTCCAGTCAGGCTATATAGTAAAACAATAAGTTAAATAAATTCAATTAAACGTTTATACTAGAGGCCCAATGCATGAAATTCGTGCAAGGGGCTTAGCCCTGGCATCCACAGCGCCTTGCCTCAGCCCTCACAGCCCCTGCTTCATCCAGAAGGTCGTCTGGAAGGACCTTCGGCTGTCTGGTCTAATTAGCATATTATGCTTTTCTTATTATAGATAAGTATATTCAACCATTCATGATAATAATGTGTAGACTGTTTGTTAAATGCCAGGCCCTAGGTTCTCTCATCTACTCCTTACCCTATGGAGGAGGTACTGTTCCTAATCCTCAGTTTTTTGAATTATGGAGACTGAGGCACAGAGAGGTTCTGATAGAGAGTAGCTAGTGAAATGGCTCGCCCATGGCCACCGCCTAATAAATATCAGAGCCAGGACTTGATCCTGACAGCATGGCCCCAGAATTCAAATATCTAATCCCCATACCATCCAGCCACTATGCTAGGGGTCGCTCAGGTCCTAAGGGTCCTAAGGGTCCCAAGTCAGGATCCCAAGCCAGGCCCGTGCCTCCGCCATCACTCCTGCTGCTCCCTCCGTAAACAGATACAGGCTTGGCCCTGGAGAGGCATTCTTGGTCCCAGTCAGTGCTTCCAAAGTAGTTCATGACAAGGAGGATTCTGAGGAAAAGTGAGACATGTCAAGGTGGCTTCCAGCCTTGCTCCCAGAATCCCTCCTGTTAGAGACCCAGGCCCCAGGCTCATCCCACCAACCTTCCCAGGGCAGCAGGAGCCACTCCGTGACACACACCCAGACGGGCCTTGGCCTTCTCCTGAGCCACTCACAGCCCTGAATGGCCCTGACCCAGAAACACATCGGCCTGCTCCAGTGCCTTGGGTGTTGTTTGTGGATCTTGGCCAAATTCATTGGGGAACAGGAACAGAAATGGTGGAGGCATAGGGGCTGGCAGAACACAGTCGCCCACCATTTGATAGCTCAGAATTGGGCTGTCTCTGAGCCAGGCATGGCCCTCATCGTGGGGCGAATGCATGAATGTGATCTTCACCCCAGGAGGGAGGACAGGGAGCCAGGTGTGTGCAGGGGTGAGGTCAGGGGGTATGTGCATAAACCTGGTGATGGAGATGTGGCAGACATGGGAATCGATACCACTGATGTTAATTAAATGTGAATGATGGAGATGCCAGCAGTGGGCAGGTTAAACCCCTGGTCATCGATTGCACGTGACTATAGGCGTGGGTATAGACTGAGATTTTTGACTCTGAATTGGGGGTGAGGGAGGGATGTGGACAGAATGAGCCAGGCTACTGAGTTTCATGGTCACTCAGACCAGCTTGTCTGGGAGCCGTCAGGACAGCTTCCTTCTGTGAGGGAGCAGAGCCCTCGCCGGCCCTGGCCACGGCCTCTCACCTCCCCCTCTCTCCTCTCTCCCACCCCGGCCTGGCCCTCGGCAGGTGTGCCAGAAGTCGGGCGAGATCTCCCTCCTGAAGCAGCAGCTGAAGGAGTCCCAGATGGAGGTCAACGCCAAGGCCAGTGAGATCCTCAGCCTGAAGGCGCAGCTGAAGGACACGCGGGGCAAGCTGGAGGGCGTGGAGCTGAAGACGCGGGATCTGGAGAGCGCGCTGCACACCAAGGGCCTGGAGCTGGAGGTCTGCGAGAACGAGCTGCAGCGCAAGAAGAACGAGTCGGAGCTCCTGCGGGAGAAGGTGAACCTGCTGGAGCAGGAGCTGCAGGACCTGCGGGCGCAGGCCGCCCTGCAGCGCGACTGCACGCCCCGCGGGCCGGCGCACGGGGCCGGGCCGGGGCCCACCTTCTCCGAGGACGTCCCCGCCCTGCAGCGGGAGCTGGAGCGGCTGCGGGCTGAGCTCCAGGAGGAGCGGCAAGGCCACGACCAGATGTCCTCAGGCTTCCAGCACGAGCGGCTGGTGTGGAAGGAGGAGAAAGAGAAGGTGATCCAGTACCAGAAGCAGCTGCAGCAGAGCTACCTGGCCATGTACCAGCGGAACCAGCGCCTGGAGAAGGCCCTGCAGCAGCTGGCCCACAGAGACGGTGCGGGGGAGCCGCTGGAGATCGACCTGGAAGGGGCTGACATCCCCTATGAGGACATCATAGCCACCGAGATCTGAGGAGCCTCCTGGGAGGGGGAGAGCCGGGGCCCGGCGTGGGGAGGCAGGGTGCAGGGCCTGTCCAGGGGGCTCCCTCCCCTCCTCCCTGCTCACTAGCAGAGCCTCTCTGAGAGAAGCCTGCCCGGGCACAGACCTGGGATCCTCCCAGGGAGGGAAGCAGAGGGGAGAGAAGGAACTGCCCCATGGTCCCTCCTCCCCATTCCCATGGCGCAGTGCTCACCATTGTGCCGCCCACCAGCTCTCTAGCCTTCCCGAGAGATGGGCCAGGCGTCTCCATCATTTGATCAAGGTCTCCCTACACCTTGGCCTTTATTCAAGTACTTAGAGATACCCTTCCCCGGGGATAGTGGTGGCTGCCGTGGAGGCCAGCGACCCCCTCCCCCCTCCCCTCTTCCCACCGTCTTTCTCCCCTGACACACTGGGATGCCTTGGGAATAGAACGAAGCCATTTGTGACTGGAATCCTTGTAATCTGACCCAGTCATAACCTGAGTTCCTCTGGCTGAGGAGGTGCAGGGGTTGGGGTGGGATGCTGAGAAGCAGGCTTAGCCACATCAGCGCTGTGGTCCCAATGCCGGCAAGCCACAGAGGAGGGGAGAGCTGGGTAGCCCAGGACAGCGAGGACCCAGGGGCAGAGCGAGACGCTCAGTAGTCTGACCTGACCCTGCTGGGCCTGCCAACAAGGTGAGCGGCCTCTGGGCAGCTGGTGGCCTCTGATCTCAGTGACTACTTTTCTTAAAGCCATAGAGACCTGGGTAGGTGCTGGGAAGGGAATGTTGCAGGCACGGGGACACACGTGGATGTGCTTTCCAGCTGTCTCTCGGATAGTGCCTGGTCGGGTCTGGAAGCACGGCTTCCCCACCTGGCTCAGTTGGCCAGCGGCCATGTTGACCTTGTTTTCTTCCCAAGAGCCCAGCCCTTGCTGGATCCAGAATAACCTGTATCCGCTAAGATGGTCAGGATGACCTGGGCGGTGGCACGCCTCCTCCCCTCACAGCTCCAGGGCCAGGTTCAGGCAAGAGTCCTTCCTGGTCAGGAGAGGTCCCCAGAGTGCAGGCAGGGAGAGGGAGAGGCACAGACACAGCCTGTGCCTGTCCCAGGGCCACCGCGGGCCTCCCTCCACCCCGAGCCCCCCGAGCCGGACTGCAGGAAGCCAGAGGCTGCAGCTGCTGGGAGCTGGGCCGGCACCGGGGGAGGCGGGTCTTCTTTCTCAGGATGCGCAGCGCTGGGGAGGACAGAAAAGGTAGAGCTGCTCAGTTGCTTGTTTCAGGATTTTTTTTTTTTTCTTTTTCTTTCTTCCTTGTCTTTTTAGAAGGAAGCCATATCGAGCAGGCAGCCAGGCTGTTCCATGTTCTATTTTTGACTCTAGCCACAGCTGCTGTTCCTAGGACAGCCAGCCCTTGCTGGGTGCCTGCACCTCATGCCTGCCTGTGGCGGGAGGAGGGGGGGGATGGAAGGGGGGAGGGGGCCTCCCTGGGGCACTTGGCAGTTCCACACCAATCCCCTTCTGCCTCCCGACCTCTGACCTTTGGCTACAGGCTTCTGGTGGGAATGAAGCTGCTCCTCTTCCTGCCCCGGCCCCTCCAGGACCCACCACATTTCTTCCCCGAGTCCGAGTCGGGGGTGAGGGCAGGGCCACCTTCTCCAGGGTTGCTCTGCCTTTCCACCCCCGGGTGATGCGGTGCCTGGCCTGCTGCCTTCACACGACGGAGGGCCTCTTCTGGAATTGGAAGCCATGGCCCTTAGTCATGAGCCAGATTTGCACCTGGAATCCGCAGGCCAAGAGCCCCCTCCCCTGGGCCTAGTGCAGAGCCCAAGTCAAAGATGTCCCGTTCCCCGTGCTGAGCCCATCCCCCCTCCATTCCCACCAGCCGGGCCTTGAGTCCTTCCTCCTGGTGAGACTGCCCCACAGGCAAGAGAACGGGGCTGCTGGCCCCTCCCCAGGCCGGAGACACCCCGACGCCCCTCCCAAAGAGCAGTGCCTCACCCAAGAAGAGGTGGGTGCTAACCGGGGTATGACTGTGCCCTGCACCCCACAGCCCTGCCCTCAGCCAACCCTTGGATCCCACCCTGGACCGCCACCGGCCCAAGGCCCCAGGATGGCCCACGGTGGCACCAGGTGCATCAGTGACTTGTAACATAGCAACTTCACCACCGTGTGGCTTTCTTCCCCTCCCACCCTGTGGAAACTCCTTACTCCTCCTGGATGCCTGCCAGACCCAGCCTCTCCAGACGGGGCTCTGGACAGCAGAGGCTGGCAGGGACTGGGGAGGTTGGACGACTGCACTTCGGGGCAGGCAGCCTGGCCCAGGGCCCTCCCCTCTGAGCACTCCTGCTGGCTGGCTTGCTTGCGCCCCTGAGTGCCTGGCCTAAAAATGCTCCAGCTGTCTGCAGAGAGCACAGCAGCAGCCTGCACCCCCTCTCCAAGGAGGGGGTTCTGCCTCTGGGACATGGGACGACCAGACTCATAGGCAGGCGCCCACTGTGGACACTGAGCTCTGGGGAGTGGGGGCCGTCTCTCCCTGAGAGGCAACTGCTGAGCCTCTGGCCTTGCCCCACCTGGCCAGGCTGCCCAGGGTGAGGCCGGCTGGGCTGGTGGAGCAGCAACTTCGGGAGGGGCATTCCCTGCGCCTCGAGTTCTCCTGAGCTGGAGCCACCTCCCCCCCACCCCTCCCCATGCACTCCAGTCTGTGGCGTGTCTGCAGGCAGAGCTGGAACCCCCAGTCGGGCTGCCTTTGGACAGACTAGCGTTTGGAAGAATATGTACAGTTATTTTTCTCTCGGTTGCTTCTTGTTTTGTTTGCTTTGCTTTTGACAGCTTCGTTTTATTCTATTTTTGATGCCCCTTTTGGCCATGTAAACTATTTCCGGTGATTTTATGTTTTTATTTATGAATAAAGAATGCCATTTCTCCTGTCTTCCATGGCCACTTTTGTCCACGCCAGCCATCCTCCTTCCCGGGCTGTGGTCCCGCCGGTCCTTGGGGCCCCTCCATTTGAAAGAGGTGCCGCCCTTCCTACTGGGGAAGGTGGGAGGCCTTATGAGGTCGGTATTGGCCGGTGGGACCCTGCCACTCACCAACCCTGTGCCTAACCTATGAATGGGCCCTGGGCTGACCCCGAGCAGGGAAATGGTGACCAAGGAGCATGTTCCTCTGTAAACAAGGAGGGTCCCCTCCTAAAGAGCCCCTCCCCCAGCTCCATCTGAGGCCTCCCAGGCCTCACGCCCCCAGACACTCACCGCATCAGCCAGCCCCTTGGTCTGTTGCACGTGGCTACTTCGGCAGGAGCCCAGAGTGGCTGCTCTTGCCACTGCCCTGGGCCTCCCAGCTGGGAAGGTGCAGGCACTGGCCAGCCTCCTGCTGTCTGCCCACCTTATTTACCTGGACCAGGGTCACCTACTTCCCTGGGCTCAGGTCCTAGGCTCAATGGGGGTCCACTCAGGTGGCAGGTGCCCTGGAAAGAGGGGACTAGGCACATGAGGCAGCCTGTGGACCGGGTGAGGGTAGACAGGAGACAGTGCCTCTGCAGGGGGCTGATCAGAATGTGCAGGGAAGGTGGCAGGCAGGAGGGGTTAGGGGCAAGGGTGGGACATGAGTGGAGTGGGAGGAGGGAGAGATAAGAAACTCATCCCAGCCAAAACCGGTTTGGCTCAGTAGGTAGAGTGTCAGCCTGTGAACTGAGGGGTCCCAGGTTCAATTTCAGTCAAGGGCACATACCTTGGTTATGGGCACATCTCCAGTGGGAGGGTGTGCAGGAGGCAGCTGATCGATGTTTCTCTCTCATCGATGTTTCTGACTCTCTATCCCACTCCCTTCCTCTTTGTAAAAAAAAAAAAAAAAAATCAATAAAAATATATTTTAAAAAGAAAAGAGCTGAAACAGGTTTGGCTCAGCGGCTAGAACGTTGGCCTGCGGACTGAAAAGTCCCAGGTTCGGTTCCAGTCAAGAGCCTGTACCTTGGTTGCGGGCACATCCCCAGAAGAGGTTGTGCAAGAGGTAGCTGATCAATGTTTCTCTCTCATCGATGTTTCTGGCTCTCTATCCCTCTCTCTTCCTCTCTGTAAAAACTCAATAAAATATATATTCTTAAAAAGAAAGAAAGAAAAGCAACTCATCCCAGGACCGGCATTCACACCATTCAGGGCCCCTCCCGCCCACACAGGTGCCAGGAGCACGTTGCAGAGGGAGGAAGGCCGGGCAGCCGTGAGCCTCCAGCCCGAGGAAGGGCAGTGACCAAGCCAGAACTAGATCCCTCATCGGTCAAATTCCCAGGCAAAGGGGTCCTGTCGGGCCTGGGGTTACCCTGTCCAGTCTTCATCCTCAATGTGGCCCAAGGCTGCTAGGCTGTTGCATGGGTGACACCCCTGGGCTGTGTCTCCCTGTTCACTCCCGGGTAGCCCCCTCCCCTGGAGCTCAGGCACGTCTCGGACTCACTTGCACCTTCCACTTTTATACTCTTGGGGGCCCTAAGCTGCCTTGTAAGAAGCCCGCCAAGTCCACTAGAGAGACCCCCTGAGGCAGGAGGCCCTATTGTCCCAGCTGGGCCCCAGCTAAGTGCAACCGAGCCAGTGACCAGGGCCCAGCCAATCCTGAAGAACAGAGACCTCTCGCTTCTGCCCTTACAGAGCCCCGGCCTCAGCGCCCAGCACACATCAAATGGCAGTGTCCTTACGCCCTCGATGGGGAGGAGGGGGGGGGGGTAATCATGTGGCTTAGCAGTAAATAACTAACCCCTCTTGGCAGCCAGGCCCCTGACAGGCCACGCCAGCAAGCCTCTCTCCCTCTGAAGGGCAAAGGGCAAGGAAGAAGAGGGCTCAGAGAGGGACAGGCCGGGAAGTGACTTCCAACCGCAGGAGCTGGCAGCAACAAGGGAAGCAATGGCTTTCCCCACCCCCACTTCCTCTGGAGACACAGGCCTTCCTTGAGCTTCCAAACCTGCTTATTATTTGGAGGGAGGGGGGAACAAAAGGCAAATATGAGAGGAGAGAGAGAGAGACCAG